TGAAAACAGAGTTTCTTCTCTTGAACAAATTGGTCTTGGACAAAGTATACCACATAAATTGCTTCCAGATCATCTTGTGCCTGTGGGAGGACTAAGGGCTTAAGATAAGATGCATTTCATAGTGTCATATTTGGTTCCTTTTCCTAGCAAACATAAAGGAAAGAGAATAGACCAAATCCAAATTTGCCTGAAGGCAAGGAAACTCAGTGTCTAAATGCCACATTTCCTGAGACTGTGTAGTAATATATAATAGTGGAGCATCATAACAAATGATAGAGTAATAAAGTCATGATGATAACCTGTAATTTAAATAAACCCATGAAAATGTAGAATGGAGAGAGCTCCAGCTTCTGAGAATGAGTCACAAGTTCAATTCTCAATTCAAAGCAATTGGTACTTCTCATGTTTATATGTAAATAGATCTCAACCAAAATCATTAAATATTCAATTCATATTCAAGGTTATAAAATATTGAACATAATTTAATAAATACAACCAAGTTAATCAAGACTTTGGTGGTTGTGGGTTCAAATAAAGCTTTTGAAAAGAGTCATTTCACTTGGGTTTTATTCTGATCCTCCATTTCCCTCTCCTGTTTTTGAGTGCCAAAATTGTATTAAATGAGTGTCTAGATGCTTGAGGTTGTGCTGGTGTGTTAAATTATCGAGGTGCTTGAGGTTGTGCTGGTGTGTTAAATTTAACACATAGATGTGTTAAATTATTATCTCTTAGTAATTTTTGTACTGAGCAGGATTGTGATGTATGGGGGATATTTGAGGATGTGTTGGGGTGTACTCTGTCAGTGTGTTATGTAAGCAGATGTAACACTGGTGAGTTACCTTAGATCTTGGATGCTCAATAGTCTCTTCTCTGTACCTCATCAATTGCTGGGACACAGGGATCCCACAGTCCCCTAGAATTCTTGGGGGAATATCCAAATGTTGCTTTTTCTTAGGGTTGCACAAGTATAGATGGCACCCGAGAGTGAGTACCTTCTTAAGTTTTGGCTCTAGGCCTTTTGCTTATCTTACCCTAGTCTAGCCCTGCAGTGCAAGACACTATAGCATTGAGAAAAGAACTTTGAACAGGCTTGAGTTCAAATTTGGGTTCTGGCACTTGCTGGCTATGTGACCTTGGGTAAGTAACCCTCTTGGACCCTCAGTTTTCCCCTCTGTGAAAGGGGGATAATAATGCCTGCTGCATAGAATTGTTGGGAGGTTTAAATGAAACCATGTCTATACCCTATTAATATATTGTAAATATTTAATCTTTTAAAAAGGCAGGCCCTATGCTTGGCTTTGTTATAGACATAAAGGTAAATAAGACCCCAACTACATTAGAGTCTGGTGGGAAGATAGAAATTTTTCTCAAGCACTCTCATACGTTAGGTTTTACTTACGTTTAAAAGATCCTACAAGTTCTGAAATCTTTCCATCACTCACCAGTCATCTCTGGTATGTGCTGGATGTTTGTCCCTAAGGCTTGGAGCCAAGTGCTCTGCAGGAAGAGGGAAGGGAAAAGTCAATTCCCCAGCAAGGAAAGGAGAGCAAGGGAAGGAAAATAAGGGGAATTTCCTGTATACCCGAGTGAAAGAAGGTGAGAACCATCATAGTCTGAGTCCTGGACATTCTGCCCAGTGTCCTAGCTTTCCGATAGTTTATTTTTTAGAGGGAAGAGATCCTCCCACTTTATAGTCATCAGAGTCACTTCCTCATTTCCCACCCCTGTCCAGACTGAAGTATGTAGAGGGTGGAAATGAAGCTAGGTTTTGGATGCCATTTCATTGAAGAAGAGACCCTTGGGAGCCCTGTAGGAAGAAGGATCAGAGAGACTGAGGGCAGGAGCAAAGGCTGTGAAGTGAATTCTGCTCAGGCTCTGTTTACTTTCTGAGTGACCATGAGCTGGCAATTATCATTGAGCTTTGGCTTCCTCTTCTGTAAGATAGGGATAATAGCAGTGCTTATCTCACTATCATTCCCATTTTGCAGATGAGAACAGTTAAGGCATAGAGAGATTAACATGATCGTGGTCACATAACTAACAAGCGGTGGAGCCAGGATTTGAACTTGGGCATATCTGCTTCCGGGGCCCCTGCTCTCAATCATCTTACTCCACTCCTCTGTTTTACTGTCTTCTTGCCCCAGTCAGAGTGTACGTTTTTTGAGAGCAAGTCTTACAGCTCAGAATAGTGGACTTCTGTCTCAGATTATGCCTTTAGATGAGTGGCGAGGTCTTAGATGTTGCCATAACTTCCCAAATAAACTTATTGCATCTGGATTGAACATATAGACAGTAATAGGATGTGCAAAACAGCACCTTTCATAAACAGGCTCTCAGGGACTAGCAAATAAGTGATGGATCACGAGCTCCAATGTGACCCCTAGTCGACTCTTAGAGATGTTTGCTAAAAGTGTTCCTGGCTCCAAGGGGACATGAGTCCTTGGAGGCCTGCCAGCTGGGTGGAGAAGGTGCAACCTTATAAATCCATGTGGCTTTTTAGAGTATGGCAGAAAACCAGGCAATCCCAGCCCAGCCTGGAGGGGCCTAGCACCCCTTAGCCTCACAATTCCTGCCTGGCAGTATGGGAGTGTGAGGGAGATGGGGGAGCAGGCGGCTTCCTATTCATTTGCTTGTTGAGATGGGGTGAAATAATTTTCCAGGAAGACCTGCCCACCTCCCCGAACCTCTTAGAATTGAGAGTCAAGAATTACAAATGGACAGCTACCACATAGAGGTGAAGGTGGGAGTGTGTGTGGGAGTTGCAACTCATAATCCAAAAGGGAATATGAAGATGAAGAAAAGATAGGCAAAAACTCACCTTGTGTAATATTGCCAATAGTTATCAAGTGCTACCATGTGCATTATTTGGTTTATTCCTCCCAGGACTCACAGTATTGTTATCATTTCTATTTTACTGTTAGGGAAACTAAGGTCAGAGAGGTTAGGTGGCTGTCTAGTGTCACAGTAAGTGGCAGAGCGAGAATATACACCCAGAAAGTTAGAACCCATTTTCTTAGCCTTTGACATCTCTGATTCCCCACCAATGATAGCACCTCTGAGTGGGAGAAACTCTTAGAGAACATTTATTTCAGACTCTTCAGCATCAGGTGGGGAAACTAAAGGCCAGAGATGCAGTGATGTACCAACACCACACAACTGGTTAGTGATAGCTGGAAGATTTGACTGCAGAGGCAGGAATTAGGGTGAGGCAGGAAGGCTCTAGGGTGCAGAATTTAAGGAGACGCTCACTCTCAGATGCCAAAGCTGCACTTGTACAACCCTGAGAATAAGCACTTCCTTAAATTTTGTGCCCTAGATGCTTGACTTGCCTCACCCTAGATCCAGCTCTGACCAAATGCTTTTTCTGGTTTTGTAGTATGACAAAATCTCAGGCATGAATTTATTTATTTGATTTCTTGATGGGATATTTGTGTGTTTTGTCAACATCTAAAGGTAGGTTTCTACCCAGGGGCTGGATGGAGAATCTGCTTCTGGTTGGTACCAGAAGAGACAGTACCGAAGGGGACAAAATCTGGCTCCAGTAATTAGGCATGAAACTAGGAGAACTGTGATTCCCGCCTCGACACAACAGGGTGGCAGAATAGGGTCTATGGGGACTGGGACCCTCTCTCTCTCCTCTGGATCTCACTGAGCTGAAATGGGGAAGTGCCAGGAAAAGCTTGTAGGGGTAGGATTTGCCTCATCAGACCCAGAGTGAAGTGGATTATCAAGGTTTGAAGCAGGGGGGCCAGCTGCTCAGACACATGTACAGATTCACATTTCCCAAAGCCTCAGGCAATGTGCCTGCTATATTTGCAAACAAACAAATAATTCCTTCTAGAGATTTGGGCCTTTCTGCTACTATTGTAGTTCGAAGAGAAAAAAAGACAAACCACACAAGCAATGCATCCGGCTGCCACTCCATCCCTGATATGTAGGGGTATGATGGTAAATCCTGCATTTCTTGGGGAGGGTTTGGATTTGGAGAGAAGGGTTCCTTGCGCTACTTCTGAGAGTCAGGTCCTCCCCCTCGCCCGGGCTCAGCATCCTAGGAGGATTGTGGGGCAGTGAGGCGGCCCAAGGTGCTGTCCGGAGGGAGAAGTCTGCCTCCCCGTGACCCTGCGGGTTGGGGGCCGGGGGCTTGGGGCAGGCCGAGAGCCTGAAAGGAGTGGATCGGACTCTGGCAGCCTCGCAGTTCCAGGGTCAGCGGAGGAGCCCTGTCCCTGCTGCGAGGAGCAGAGGTGGACTAGGCTCTCTCTCTGGAGTTGCCTTCGTCAAGGTAAGGTATCTTCTCTCTGGGCCTCAGTTTCCTCATGTTCCCAGGCGCGGCTCAGCCCGGCATGCCTAGGGGCCTGACATTCTGGGTTCTTTGCCTTCTTGCCCTTCCAGTCCAGATGTTCCTCAAGCCCTTATCTGGGATCCCAACTTCCAGCTCTGGCCCGTCCCTCTCTGTCCACAGCCTGTGACCACAACAGTACTCCATGCGCTGAATGACTTGGGCTTATGACCCACCCGGAGGGAGAGGGGGAGTAGGGATAAGAAAGGAGTGTAGAGACGGGAAAAGGTTAAAAGGGGGAGGAAATAGCAAGGAGAGATAGAGAGGTTAGAGAGAGAAAAGAGGGATTGGAGAGAAACAAGAACGAAAGGGGGAAGGGAGGTGAGAAGAGATGATGGAAAAAGATTGAATCAGAGAAAAAGGATCCCAAAGGAAGCTGGAGGGAGAGACTAAAAGATAGAAAAAAGAGTGAGGGAGCAGAGTCTACAAGGACCGAAGAGGGAGAAAGAAAAAAAAAAAAAAAAGGAGGAGGGAACCGAGGGAGGGAGCCGCGAGCTGGGAGGAGGGCGGCTAGGAGGAAAGGAGAGAGGGAGGGACCGAGGGACGAGGAGGGTGGGGGCTGGCTCAGCAGCAGCGGCGCTGCTCCCGCCGCCCGCCGGCTTGTTCACTCGCTCGCGGTGCCCGCCGCCCGCCGCCCGCCGCCCAGCTCTGGGCCGCTCACAGCTCTGGCTCCTGGCCCGGCGCTCTGGTGTGGCTTGGGCTCCGGAGGACCGGATCGCGTGGCTGGCCGGCCAAGCCCCCAGTGGGCCGCGGAAGCAGGTAGGTGACTGGGCACGGACTGCGAGGACGCGGAGCCTCGGACCACCGGGGGTACAGGGGGACGGGGGTCGGCGAGGAGATTTTGCAGCTTCGCGACTAACTTTCCACCGGTTCCGTGGATTTCCCGCTGCCCTGCCCGGGTCCCGGCTGCGGAAGCCGAGTTCGGCGCGGGGAGGGTTTGGAGAACGCCGGGGGGTCCGGACAGGACGCGGGATGGGGGCGGCCCCTGGCCCTGGCAGGCGTTGGCCCTCTAGCCGCAGTCGGGACGCAGAGCTCACGGCTGGGGAAGACCGGAGCGCAGTGGCGCGGCGCGATTGTCCCAGGGAGGGCGCCCGCCCGCCCCTCAGAGTCTGGGGACTCTGGTCCCCAAGCCGCTCCGGGCGCGACCGCTGCTCACAATGCAACGGGCACTCTCCCTGCCGGGGTCCAGGCGCAGAGCCTGTGGGACGCGGCCAGGTCCCCGACCCGGCCAGCTGTGCGCCTCGCTGTCCCAAGCCCCAGCCCGTGCCTTGCGCGCTTTTGCTTTTTGGAGGCGCTATGTGGAATGTCTTTATTTCTTTCTCGCCTGACTCCCTTAGGGGAAGTCCGAGTCATCCGATACTTGAGTTGACTTCCCAGATGTCCCTCCTGCCCTCAGCGGCGACCCTTGCACCCTAAGTTAAGAGAAGCGAGTCATTACCAGTGTGCGCCTGGAGCGCGGTCCCGAAGTTCCCAACTTCTCGTCCAGCCGTGGCGGTAGTGTTGGAGGTGGGGAAATGGGTGGTCTTTGTGGCCCTTTGGAGCCGCAGCGCGCTGCCGCCTTCCTCATGGGCTTGATTTATTTTCCTAATTTGCTAGAAAAAAAATACGATTTATGATATGTAAAAATCGTGTCTTGCGGGCGTCAAGGTCCGTGAGTGGGACGGAGCCATCACGCGTCGGGAACCTGGGAGGGCGGAGCCTCGGCTTGACCATTTCGGAGCCCCGGAGCCCCGGAGCCCTGGCTGCTCTCTCCCGAACCTGGACCCCCGGCTCCATCTGACCGTAGCCGCTTCTTAGGATCGGTCCCCGCAAGCCCGCGCTGCGAGCCTGGTCTGACTCTCTTGTGGTCTAGAAAAATATTTCAAAGTGGCTCCGCTTCAGGATCTCCCACTCCGTTTCCCCGGGAACGTATAGAGCAGGGCCTCCAGCAAGTTGGAGGAAGCTTTTGGGCGGTTTGGGCTCCTGGCCGTCTTAGCTCGCTCTGGCAAGGGTACTCGTGCCTGGGCATAAGAGCTTGTCCCGCGCTCTGCCGAGAAAGTAGGGGTTAATGCCCGGACCAGGTGGCTGCGAGAGGAGGCTGGCCGGGGCTGTCAGACCCTGCCGGGGGCACGGGTCCTTTGCTCCTGAAGTCCTGGAGGCACGAATTTGCCGCCATATGCGGCTTTTTCGGAGCCAGCAGGGCCCCGGCCTCTCACCCCCCTCTTTGTGGGAGTGCTGTTGGAGAGGTTCGGTTGAAAGGCTTTAGAGCAGGTTTAATGAGACCGAGATCTGAGGGCTACGCAGATCTCCCCTGCAGGTTGGGCAGAGTCCCCGGAGGGTATTGAACCGACCACCTGCAAGCACTCCATCTTCAGCTCGTTTGGCGGGTTTTCCCTGGTGCATGCCACAAACCACCTCTCTTGCTCACATAATTGTTTAAAGCCGCTAGAAAGTCAAGGTCCACCACTGCAGTCTCCACCTCTTCTTTCCATCGCACAGATCAGCAAACTGAGGCCCAGAGAAATAAAGATTAGAGCTAAAGGTGGAAAGGAATGTAAAGATTAGAGATAAAGGTGGAAAGGAATCGGTAGGTCTCCCGATTCCTAGTTCAGGGCTTTTCTTGGTACTCTATGATGACGTTACTACTTTCTTAGCATAGGGTAAGTGTTCCCAGTCCGGCCACAGCAAGCCCTTGACAGGATTGAGGAGTAGGTGTGTTTGTGGTTGAGGCAGAGGACCCATCTCTGGATTCTCTTGTTATGTGCTTTGCTGTGATCATCTCCCAGGATAATCACTTTGGTGACAGTTTGTTGTATATTTATCCTGTGCCAGCATTTAAATCTGGGGGTAAAGAAAGCCCTTACATTCAGCCCCTGCTGCTCAATCCATGGGGAAAGAGCAGTAGCCATTGTTTTGAAGTCAAGTAGGCAAGTACAGGCGTTCTCAGGTGAAATTGATTTTGGAGGATGCAGGATTATGGATAGGGAGGGTTTGGAATTAAGCATTAGGTAGATTTCCAGTTAAGGGAGGATTGTGGGGACAAGCCCTGAGTACTAAAAGGCAGGAAAGCTCAGACATTGTTAAGTGGCTGGCCAAAGGACAGCAAGGTTAGGGCCAATGAGAATTTGTCCTTTGAGTGAGAAGAACTAGGGTAGCTAGAAGACCCAGATGCTCCGAACTCAAGCTCAGAACCCAAAAGGTCTTCTAGTTCTACAACTAGGATGAGCAATTGGCTGGGAAGTCAGCATCCCGTGAACCAAAAGTTGTGGCTCCCAGCTGAAATATTCAGGCTTTTGCTTCTCTTTTTCCTCTTTCTCATTGTTCCCTAGGGTTTCAAATATAGTTGACCCTCAAACAACATGAGTGGGTGGGGGGTGCTTAGGAGTGCCACCCTCCTCAGTCGAAAATCCGTTTATAACTTTTGACTTCTCCAAACTTCAGTCCTTCCTTGGTATGTCGGTGGAGGATTGGTTTCGGGACCCTGCGAATAGCAAAATCCATGGACGCTCAAGAACCTTATATAAAATGGAGTAGAACAATGTATGCAGTCAGCCCTCTGCATCTATGTACTCCAAGCAGATGGAAAATAGTGTTTTTGATCTGAGGTTTGTTGAATCTGGAGATGCCAAACCCATGGATATGGCAGGCCAACTGTATATTAATTGAAAAAATTCCAAGTGTAAGTGGACCCACACAGTTCAAAACTGTGTTGTTCAAAGGTCACCTTGTTCAAGGGTCAACTGTAGAACTGTAGTTTCTTTGCCCCTTCCTAACCATAACTTTAGAATTTAGATACCTACTATTGGAACTACTATAGGCAGGGCGTTTATTGCATTGGGAATATTTAGTCAAATAATTCTGGAGCTCCACCTTTGTGCCAGGCATTGGTCTTGGGGATAAAGCAGTGAACCGGACAGGCAGAGTCTTATACTACATGATATTGACATTGTAGGCTTCTGTCCTCTACAGGTTTAAAGTCTAGTTGCAAAGTGGAAGCAAATACACAAAAAATGTCTGAAAAAGTGCTGAAGTTGGACAATATAACACAGAGAATCTTGAGCCTCCCCTTTAGTGGTTCAAGGCTCCAAGGTGAAAAGGCTTGAAGCTGTTGGCTATGAGATTCAGACATTCTGTGGGCTTCCATGACCCCGGTTTCTGGTTGCCAAGGGTAACCCAGAGGGAGCTGCATTAATGACCTCAGATATAGCAGTGGAGAGCTGCTCTGCAGAGTTTCTGCCAATCAGGGTATGACAAGAGGGAGCTGGTGAGTGTTGACAACTGTGATCATGCTAGGTATCCATAGAGACTGGTGCCAGGTAACCATGTGCTTCTTAAATTACAGCATCCACAGCTACTTGGTAAACTTTGTAGCCACATTGTACAGATGGGTAAATGGAGCCCTGACTCTGCAGAAAGAGTCCCTGTGGAGACCAGGTATCCCTGATCTCTGATTCACTTTAAAATGACACTCTTCTTTTCCTATTTTGTAGACCAGTGGTTCTCAGACTTCAATGTAGGCTTATTAAAACAGATTGCTGGGATCCACCCTCAAAGTTTCTGATTCAGTGGGTCGAGTGGGTCCAGTAATTTGCTTTTCTAACAAGTCTCCAGGTGATGCTGATACTCGTGGGACCACAGTTAAAGAACCACTGTGGTAGAATAGGGAAAGTGAATGATTTTCTTGAAATCTAACAAAGGCTGTGATTTAGCTCTAGAAACTCCCAGAACTTGCCTGTACAATCCCCTCCCCCTAACGCCCCAGGAGGCCATAGAATTAAAAGAATATTTTATCTTCATCAGCACACACAGAGAGAATATATTGCAATATAATTAGGGAATAAATAGGTGTCATGTTTTGGATGCAGACTCCATGCCCTGTGGCTCTGTAGGGGTTTATTGTAGCAGTGTTATAATTGAAAAGGTGTCAGCCACTCTCAGAGCCCCTCATGAAACTTTCATGGCCTGGGTGGTCATTGTCCAAAAAGGCATGTCTTCTTCATTTAAAAGGAAGTCAGAGAGATTGCTTCTCCTGCTAATGGGACTATCTGTGTTTCATTTGACAGTAACTATGCAATGTGTTCTTAGGGGAGAAAGAAGTAAATTGAACAGCCAGTGTGAATAGAGAGAGGTTGGAGGAAATCCATATCGGGTTTACAGATCTGTTTTTTGAGCATTTCAACATGTTTTTGAAACTCTGTCTGTCTGTTTCACCTATATTTCTGACATGAAGCTGCATCTTAGCAGGAGGAAAGGAGAGTTTGAGTTTCAACTTAGCTGGTTGGATAAATGTAACAGCACACTTTATCCCCGATGTGTTAATTAGAGCCAAAAGAAAAGAATTATAAAAGAGTTGTTCTTCTAAATGCTGGCATTTTTCATCTGGATTCTATTTATTGATTATTTTACAGTTGAGAAGTAGCAAAAAATCCATGTTTTTATAGCAAATAAAGCCGGCTGCAGTAATTATGCAGGCTCAACATGTCTGTTCTGGAGCAGGAAGTTGGAATTCAGCCTGACTCTCAAACATTTGGATGAGATCTAATTGAGAAAGACATTTCAAAGAACAAATATTTAGGAATGCGGAGTTTCAATGATGGTCTCTCTGGAGCAAGTGCAAGTACCTCGCTTTTAGCTTGATCCTCAGAGGTGGGGGGAAGTGATGGGGAAGGACCTGGTTAGTAATGCTGAGACCGCAGTCAAAAAGAGATGCTGAAACTTAGAGGTAGTGAGGCTTAGTAAAGGAAAGAAAGATACTTTCAGGGAATATATCCCCTGCAACT